TAACTTGAAGTAACTGAGTTACTTTTGATAGAAGTAACTAGTAATGTAACTAAGTTACTATTTTAAAGTAACTTACCCAACACTGGTCATATGTGGGCACATTGAGCTTAAAAAAAAGGCTCGGAGCTACAGATCTGTGCCTAGTTTTTAACCTATATATCTTGAATTTTCGTATTCAGATTGTCTTTGTGTTGCTCGTACGTGCCAACAATTACGGCCTGCATATCATCTCAATAAGATCGTCTGCCGTGCCAGATGTGTCAGAACAGAGTATCAAAAACTGAATGACGCAGCGCTCAGAAGGTAACACATGAATAAAAAAAAAAATCTAAACTTATCTCTTCTCTTGTTCTTGTCTTTAAGCAAAAACATAATCCCATGTGTAGGGATTTTTGTGTGTTTTTCTTTTTTTTAGATAGAGAGAGAAGAGTTTGAGGGCTGAAAGAAAGTGAGACAGGAAGACTGAAGTTGGGATGAGCCGCAAAACAAAAAAATAAAATAAAAAGGAAAGAAAGAATGAAAGAAGTTGCCCTGAGGAGTGGAATATGGAGAAAAATGCATCTTCAGCAGGGACTACTTTAGGAAGATGATAATCAGCTTTTACAAACTTTTTTTTTTTAAAGTAAATGGTGCATACTGTAATTTTATGCGTGGTGTCATTATAGTGGCTATAAACACACAGTATGAGCTTGCAAACATAAGGTCTCTTTTCTTTCTTAACAGCAGTCTTAAGTAAATGCCATTCATGCTGTTGTTCTGTAGTAGTAGTGATGATGACATACAGCATTAGGCCAGTTACCACTTTACAGGCGGTGTATATTTCAAGATGCATCACCAATACCAAACACACACACCTAAATATAATGTAACAGAATCATTAATGATTCGTTTACTCTGCTCTTGCTCCAAACCCATGAAGGCTCACTGAAGCTTATTATTAAAGGTCTTAAATTTATTCTCATAAGCAGTCACAGCTCTGATCGATTTGTTTGTATCCTCCACCAATGGTGCTGCCTATTTAAGAGATTGCATTTAGTTCAAGTCTACTGAGCCACGCCAGACTACAGTATTGGATCATCTATTTTAAACACAGCAATCCTCTGGACTCTTTCAAAGGCGTTACTGGGAGGGGAGGGAAAAAAAGCATTAATAAATTATGCTTTGTGGATTGTCGTTCACTATAAGCTGGAAGAGGTCGATACAACATCGAAGCAACCCCCTGCACAGACATGTATTTATCACAACTTCATTCTTTTAATGAAGCGGTTCCTCCTCGGGAGAAAAAAAAATCCTATACAGTCTTTTTTATTATTATTTTTAATCAAGCAGTGTGCTACTGCCACTCTGCCTTGTGGAGTGGACTGCAGAGCGCAGTTAAAATTCAGAGCAAGTATTTAGAGAG